ACCGAACCCAGCACAATATAAACCCTATTTAATTCCTTATATTAAATAGGGGAATTTGTCGGCCAATATATTGGTTCCGCAGATCAAACGGATGTTATGACTTTCTCTAGTTTATTTGATCGAGCCTCACCCTCAATTCTTGTATTCATCCATTGGGATAGATACAGAATTTGAGGTAAAGTGCTCTTCCATTTAAACTATGAAAATTATGGGGTCAGTTTGACTTCATCTTTTTCAAAACTAAATTTTTTTAACGTCCTTCCGAAGCGGGCAACGCGATTTCAATTCCGATGACCGACAGCTTCTTACGGACAAACTCCACACCAAAAATAGTGCCAACATGGGTATCCAATGCTAAAGGGCTACATGAAGCCCTTTCCAGACACTAGATACCGTATTCTTGATTTTGAGCGAGCAGTGGTACGATTCATGACAAAAAAGAAATGTTTAACAAACGACACTCCTCTTTACGGGGGGTTATTGAAAGAATGCTTGGAGTGCGGAACAAAAAAAGAGTTATCCTACGTGATATGCCCTCGTATTCATTTCCCAAACAGTTGCATATTGTGCTGGCCACTATGACACTTCACAACTTCATCCGACGACTCAGATACGGACTACAATATTGCTGATGATAATCCAATTATTGACTCCCTAGAGCCTTCAGGATCTTTAGCTGATAATGAGATCGAGTCTACTGAATATGAAACTCAGGACGGTGAGGGTGCAGCCGAAATGGCAGTCTATAGCAGATGCTATATATGACAGCTAATCCAGCAAGTATTTCTTTTCTTCGTATATATGTAGATTAATTTTGTATGTCTATTTTATTTTTTGGGGATAAGTACTGACATACTTTTTTTTTTGATTTTTTTCGCAGTAATACAAACATGACTTATAGGATATCAGTCACAGACTGAGGTATTTTGTGTTATTGTGGACTACTGTCTCCGTTGCTCACGTAGCGTCCGTTTCGTAGCTTTGGTAGGCAGTTCTACGATTGTGCTAAGGGTGTTTCAACTCGTTGCGACTTTTTCCGGTGGGCTGACAGTCCCACATATTACACTGCCATCAGTCATGAGAATCCGATGCTTTCCCAGGTTGATAGTGTAGATGATGACAGACGTAGTCAGAGTTTAAAATTAAATATTTTAATATTTTTAATATTTCTTTTTTAATATTTCTTATTGTAGTTGTACTTGTCTTTATACTGTTTTTATTTCTTCTGGTACTCACGAGAGTGTGAGAACTGTATGTCATCTTTTGGAATTAATATGTGATGATGATATTCTTCTGCACTATATTCTTCTGTTCTACCAATAAGCTATTCTGAATAAACTGCCCCATACAGTTTTATATAACAAGGGCAGGAATGTCATTTAACCACCAATAAGCTAATCTGAATAAGTTGCCCCAAACAACAAACCAGATTATTCTAATAATATGCAGATTATCAGATTATCAAAATAATCTGCTTATCAGCAGATTATAAATAATCTGCTTATCAACAGATTATAAATAATCAACAGCTGCGTCAAACCGACCCTAAGAGTCCGTTTGGGGCAGCTTATTTGGTGCAGTGACTTTTTGAAAACGCACCTGACTTGTTTGGGTAAATTGCATTTTAATATATTATGCGCTTTCAAAACGCTGAAAACAACGTTTACACACCGCACCTATTTAGGTGTGATGATAGCTTTCTAGTAGCGGTATGGTTTTTCTAAAAAAATAAAAATTTATAATAGTCATCACATTTAGCTTATCAACAAATTATTTTTAATCAGCTATCAGCGAATTATTCAATAAATTTTAGCTATCCCAAACCGGCATTAAATTTATCTTATGTTTTCTATTATTTGGCTTATTGTCTGTTCATCCAAGGGAATACGCGTAATTTACCGTTTAGGGGGGACTGCCACAATGTCACATGCATGAATACTTTGGTGCAGCATGATTGAATTACAATCAATTGACGTACTTAAATTCATATGCATAGATCCCGCACCTCCGACGAGTTTAATTGGTGGAAGGGCCCATTCTGACATTGAGCCACCAAATCGGCCTCCCGACCCAATGTACGTGCTCTCTGGGCCACACTTAACTCCCTTACTGTAACGACCAGCTCTGCGATCTTCTCCTCAATCCCGCCTTTCCATCACTGACAAACAGATAACCTGTCCTCTCTTTGGAGCCCTTGGATTCAAAAGTAAACATATAGTTCAATCCTAAAGTAATAATGTAAGGCTTTGATTCATGATGTTTCCGCTTTTTGTAAGACAATTGTTGGATTGGATCGGTCCTGAAAAGCACACATGCCGAGACTGCACTGCGCCGATGTGGGCTCTCCGATGTCTGAAGAGTGGGGAACTCTCTTCGGATCTTCAGGTCCGATGTACAGGAGAGATCTCTCTCATTAACCTAGCGGTACTCGGCATCAGGTCACATTTAATTCTGAAGTTATTTGACGAAAATGCACTGCAAGCAAGCGGGAATGGGAGGAAGAATAGGGGTATTTCCGCTATTTATTTGCTGATGTAGATTGGTTAAGATCAAATATGGTCCTCGAACTTGCTTTCAAGCCCATACATGTCAAGTGGAGATCCATTAGCACATGTTTAGCTGATAGAAGCTGCGGACTGCACACTGTGACGAAATAGTGCGTAGTTAGACGAATTTTTTTTTATGCTCGATAAATAAACCAATTTTACATAAATAAAAATTTGTTCGTTCATATTTAACTCAATTTTGACTCAAAATATTACTCATCTATTATATATATATA